CAAAATTTATTATGGTTTATAATGGCAAATGATACTTTGAATATTACATGTTAATAACTTGATTGGAATTATAACCTTGAGTTGACAGTTTGATACTTTGAAAATTTTGAGCCAGCCCTACCCCCAAGGGCTGTAGGGTGGGGCTCAAGGGAGTCAGTGTGCTAAAATTTCTTCATTTTCCTTGTTTAGAATCAGAGGTGCTAGTTTCAAATCCTTTTTAGTCTGAAATCTGTATGCTTGATATTGAATAAGTTGGTTTTATTGTTTTTTGTCACTTTGAATAATATTTCTGTTCATGTTAAAAACGAAATCAACTCTCTGTATAAATATATCAGGTGACCGTTAAGGCCTATGGGCCTCTTGTTTATTAACCCTTACTCCAAACAATCCTTGTAAACTGGTATTCTAAATGCTTACCTCTGATTACAAATTTCCCTGTATACACAGGGTCCATAGTGGCCAAGTTGTTAAGATGTTTGACTGCATGTCTACGTTCATGCACTGGTCCTCCACCACGTGCCACTGATCGGTGGCATAAATATTATAATATTGCTGAATTTAAAAAAAAAAAAAAGAAATAAGAAATACTTCAAAGGCTTTTTGTTCTATATAGGAGGAATTAAAAAAAAACCTCAATGACACTCACAATCATCCTACAGCAACAGGTTTGTTCTGACCAACTGTAAGAGTTACAGTTGTTAAAACTTCAATATCTACTGTCACTGTACTGGGAAAACAGGATGTTTTTTTAAGTGAAATATTGATTTAATTAATACCATTGTATTAATTCCAATTTTGGTTTGTTTTTGTTTATGTCCTGTTAACAGCTATGGGCATTTAATAAGGACGTGCCAGGTTTTGGTGGTGGAGGAAATTATTTTTAGCCAGAGTTTCTGGAGAAAAACCACCAACCTATATACGGCCAGTACCTGGTGACTGACCCCACATAGGTCTCCAACCCGCGACCCGGTGGTGGAGTGCTAGTGGTAGCGGTAGCAGAATGTCAGATGCCTTAACCACTTAGCCTGCAATGCGGCCCCCAAAAAATTGAACTTGTTTGTTCATTCCGCACAAATATACATTATCCACATTTATTTTCCATTATAAGAGGACATTTTTGGCATGTGGTTCCATAAATAAAACGCAATATACTATCAGGGTCACATAGGCTTTTTAAAAGGTATAATTGTTCAAAATATGGACATTTTGGTTTCCCTACAATTATGTAGATTTAGTTTTGAAGGAACAGGTGTCTGATTTGATATCCAAACATATATAATGTTGCATGGCACGGAAATAATATGTATTATATTTGTATATATTGTAATTATTTCCGTACTTGAACTGTTCATGCAACAAAAATCAGCAGCCAATTTCATACAGCTGATATACAGGTTAATTGACATATTTACATTTCTTTGCACATTGTGCCAATTTCTTGGGCTGCTCTCCCACAAGTGTCCCGCTTTGAGCAAAGCTGACGTTAACTGGTTTAAAGCAGTTTAGTGTACATATTGAAATTTCATTGCACATTACATGATTCTATACAAGTAAACATGAACATTGAAAACAAGAATGCATCCATGTGCCTTATTTTTACATAGGGTGAGGCTGATGTGAATGCCAAGGACAAAGAAAATAGGACGCCTCTACATTTGGCTGTACTCCGTTGTCACAAAAATGCTACTGAGATCCTTGTGAATGAAAGTAGGTAAAACTTTCTTTATTGAGGATATATATTGTAACAGCTAAGGGATCTGAGGGGGAAATACTGCCTTACTGGCAAGCCAGCTTATCCAGTGATGCAGTATAACCCAGGGACGCGCTCACTAGTTCAGCAACGTCGGGTGTGGTCATTAGTTGGATGGGTGACTGCCCGCATGTTACATTTGGTGGCAGCGGTGTGACTCTGTGTTCGTGTAAGGCCAGTTCACGGTGGTCAGGGAAGGTGCAGTAATAGAACCTTCAGGATTCCCACAGCCAAGTCTCGGGACGAGGCTTCTCAGAGGAGGGGATAGTGTAACTGCTAATATAAGGAATTTGCATGGAAAATACTGCCCACTGGGACCCACTAACTAGTTTAGCATTGTCAAGCCTGGTCAGTAGTTGGATAGGTGACCACCTTCACGTTACAATATGTATTGTATGAAGCGATCAAGCTTGGTCACTCTTTAGCCAACCACCATATTGTGTTGGGTGGTCCAGGATGGCAAGCTGTTCAAACAGCACTGCATCCTTTGTCAGTCTCGAAGCAGGTTTTTGTTTTTTACTATTTCACAAGAAACCTGCATGTATCCATTTTCATCAACATTTTTCTAAGGCTCAAAAACAGGGTGTCTTATGATTTTCCTGCTTTTTTTATACGCCCTTCGAAGACGGGGACGTATTATGTTTTCACGTGAGCGGGCGGGCGGGCGGGCAAACGATGTCCACTCGATATCTCGAGTAATTATTAACGGATTAACTTCAAACTTCACAACAAGGTTAATTACCATGAAACCTCGGACAAGTTCGATAACCGCCATTATCCGACCATAATTTGTGGAGTTATGGTCCTTTACTTGCCGAAACAGTGTCCGCTCGATATCTCGAGTAATTATTAACGGATTAACTTCAAACTTCACAACAAGGTTAATTACCATGAAACCTCGGACAAGTTCGATAACCGCCATTATCCGACCATAATTTGTGGAGTTATGCCCCTTTATGGACTTGCCGAAACAGTGTCCGCTCGATATCTCGAGTAATTATTAACGGATTAACTTCAAACTTCACAACAAGGTTAATTACCATGAAACCTCGGACAAGTTCGATAACCGCCATTATCCGACCATAATTTGTGGAGTTATGCCCCTTTATGGACTTGCCGAAACAGTGTCCGCTCGATATCTCGAGTAATTATTAACGGATTAACTTCAAACTTCACAACAAGGTTAATTACCATGAAACCTCGGACAAGTTCGATAACCGCCATTATCCGACCATAATTTGTGGAGTTATGCCCCTTTATGGACTTGCCGAAACAGTGTCCGCTCGATATCTCGAGTAATTATTAACGGATTAACTTCAAACTTCACAACAAGGTTAATTACCATGAAACCACGGACAAGTTTGATAACCGCCATTATCCGACCGTAATTACTGGAGTTATTACCCTTGGTTTCATTAATGCGATGCATGCGTTCCATGATGTTGTATTGCACTCATTGATCTACCAGTTATGTTGAATGATTTCTCTTTTAATATCAATTACTCACAAATACTTCATATATTTCAATCATACAAACAACTGCTCATTCAATGTGTGACGGGCGTATTATATACCGCTCGCGGTAACCTTGTTTCTACATATGTTACATACCTGTACATGTTCAAAAATATTATCAAAACTTATTTGAATTGATGAAAAAAAGTATTATTTTGCCAAAGCGATGTACTTTTATCATCTTGAACTTGATTTTATATGAAATATTTTACTTAAAACTAATGTGTCAGTGTTTGCATTATCTGACTTTGTTTTTTTACTACAGATTGTGATGTGAATGCTCAAGACGATAACAGCAACACAGCACTTCATCTGGCTCTAGGCAATAGCTCACTGCCACAAGCGGTGAGTAGTTCACAATGACTATCTTTCGCAAAAGTCAAAGGTTCCTGTATCCATAACCAAGTTAAAAGTCATAACTTATAACAAAAGTCAAGGGTTATCTTATCACATAGGTCAAAGGTTATCAATCTCAAAGGTCAAGGCTTAATCCACCACCAAGTCATCTGTCACATATGCCAAGGGTTATTTGTATATGTAAAGGGTTATAATCACAAAGATCAAGGGTTATCCATCACGTAGGTCAATGATTATCTTTCATAAAGGTCAAGGTCATCTATCACACAGATCAAGGTCATATTACATAGAGCAAGGGTTATCTGTCAGATAGGTCAAGGGATATCTGTCACAAAGTCCAAGGATTATCTATTACATAGTTCAAGGTCATCACTAATACAAAGTTGAATGTCATATATCACATAGCTAGGTTAAGGGCATCTATTACAAAGGTCAAGGCTTTCTATCACATTTTATTTTAGGTCAACTATCATCAGGTTTTAAGAAAATTGTTTATATCGCTGGCCTGTTGAAGTATAAATAGTTACAATGACTACAGAATATGATTTTGTTTATAGCTGGTACAACAGTTGGGATTGGCTAAGCAGACAAGCAGTGAGGACGTTAGTGAAATAATCTGTTTCCTCCTGGAACATCAGGCCAGTATCACCCTGAAAAACTCGGACGCAAAGACGGCACTTGACCTCACAAGCGATCCCATGATTCGAAAGTTCATGGAAAGGTTTGTTTTCATTGCATTTAGCTTAACCATATATATATATATAGTCTAAATAATGTTGATTTTTATTGTCAATCACAAGCCATTCTGAAAAGTGTGGTTATTGTGATACAGACGTATGTGGGATATTAATTTTGAAAGTTAATGTTCAATGAACTAGATTGACCCTTGATTGTTTCTCTAGTTAACTCTTTTTATAAAGTCTATCAGAAAGATTGATATAATTTTAAATGGCTGCATGTTAATTTTCATTGAACATGCATCGTTAGTTAATGCTTTGAGTATTTGTCTGATGAAGGTGACAGAACACTAGTACTAGTCATCATAGTGTCACATATACCAGTTCACTTGTACTGCTGTACTATAAATCAGTATACATTCTGTATGATCTACCAACCCAAAGAAAATATTTAAAAAAACATAGTAATATCAATGTACAACTTTGATTGATAATGAACTTGATAGCCTTTGTGATCTGCAATCTAAAAAAGGGTGAAACTAGGGTTATCTCCCTTGACCACTATTCATCAAAATGTCGCACAAATAAGTCGAATCAGTTCACTAGTTGTGCTTTATAAACCTGATTTTTACAGTGTATCTCTAGGGGAAGTATAAATCAGCGAGATATTTTATTTCACAGATTCCAAGAAAAAAAATCAGATTCCAAAAGGCAGTCAAAGAAGGGGACACGTTTCCCAGCACATTGGGAGTCTATGACGACTGAACACATGCGTATCATCTTGAAGAGTAATGGGGGAGGAATAATCAAGATGGAGTATGAAAATGTGGTAAAGAAATTTGCTCGTTCACTACCACAAGCTCGTGTACTCAAAGTGGAACGAGTACAGAGCAAGTTCCTTTGGGAAGTCTACTACATGTGAGTACCCTTTTTTTCCCCATAGCTCTAACCCTATAAGTCTTCCTCCTTCACTATTGTGAGCTTATTAGCTGGCCTAAGGCTTCATTTGAAATAATGTAAAGGTGCAGATAATCCATTGCTATCTTTCTTATTATATCTAGTATTTTCATATGTTCCTATACTTTCTACGTCTCTAGAGAGGATGTTTATTTGACCCTTAGGAACATAAATGATGAAAGAGTCAAGGGCATCAATCAACATGAACAAATTGTACTGTAGCCCTTAATCTCAGCAGATCTGACCAAATGCAATAATTACAGCTTATAGATCTGAGGAATAAATTTGAAATTTATTTAGCCATGTTTGACTTCTCTAATTCTGTGTGTAATTGTAGTGTTACAAATATGCAGTGTAACTGATAAACGATTAAAATCAAGAACTACCTACCGGAATTTGAATGTTAGGAATATCTGGAGTGTGATTCTAAATTGTTGAGAAATATTCACCTATTGTTAGAAAATGCACATGTTACGTATATGGTTTCCGTGGTTACAGGACAAAGCGTAAATTGGAGCGACAGTATGGTGGATTTGGCACTGCCAATGAGCGTGAACTATTTCACGGTACAATACCTGATGTTATAGATGTCATCTGCAAACAAAACTTTGACATGCGCCTGGCTGGGGGTCGTATTGGAACTCTCCTTGGCAAGGGAACCTATTTTGCAGCAGAAGCCAAAACATCAGATGGCTATGCTTCACCGGACGGAAATCGTCACAAATTTATGTTTTTGGCTAAAGTCCTGGTGGGAAAATCTTGCGTGGGCAACAGCGATTATTCTCGGCCTCCTTCCCAGGACCCAAGTGATCCTCAGGCAGTACTGCATGATAGCTGCGTGGACAACACCAGAGATCCCCGCATCTATTGTGTGTTTGATAACAACCAGTACTACCCAGAATATCTCATCGAGTATGTCTAGCTTATATGTACAATGTATGACACAACAAGGTTTACAGCATTTCTTTGTCTTAAATTATGTCCCAATACATGATTATTGTAAATAAAATGTCAGTGAATTTTTATGAAAGTTGGATATCAATGGAACAACTTTGAAATAGATTTTCATTCATCTGTGCCAAATTAACCTATCAACTTGATTACAATGAAACCTCTCGTGGTCCTTGAGGAACATGAGAAGAGATGCAACAACAAGATGGCTTCCACCATGGCCTCTGATTGGCTGATCAGGTGCTTTATGATTAAGGTATAATGGGTAAACATTGTTCTTTCTTTGTGAAAATGATACATAGGGGTTATATACTTTACATGAGATAACTAACTTATTGAAATTGCTGTGGGAATTTGTCTGAACCTCTGGGAACTGTCCAGGGAGTTATTGTATAGGGATGTCTTAGTTTTCAAACTACACTAAGAAGATATTGAAATTGCTGTGGGAATTTGACTGAACCTCTGGGAACTGCCCAGGGAGTTATTGTATAGGGATGTCTTAGTATTCAAACTAACACACAGCTGTTTAGCGACTAATTAGTCCCTGGACAGCAAAGTCACAACCAAAGTTGATATAGTCAATTAAACAGATTAGTTTTATATAGAATGAATATACATGCTTCTTTGCACAATGCTTACAATTTAATATATACCGTAAACAGAGAAATTTTCCTTAGATTAATTTTCGCCTGGTGGCTCTCCATAATTTATCTTTACAGCAAATATAAATAGACAGCATAATAACCTTAGTAATTAAATGTGAAGATACACAAAAAAAAAATTGTGCTGATCACCTTTTGAAGAACTGCATGGGCCCAGGTTTTATATAACTCAATGGTAACCTTTGGTATCACTTTGTATAGATAAATCATTGATATGATCCTTTATGCTTCCATTTTAAAATAAACATCAAGCATTTAATATTGATGCTAAGAAACAGGATTCTGATCATGAGAGCCACTATCATACATTCAGTGACAGTCATAACTTATACTGATAAACTTATAAGTGTGAAAAAATAATGTTCTTTGACCTGTATATGTCTGGTATACATTATGCATGTACATGTACTTTAATGTAGAACAGTATACTTTTATGTTTTCAACTCCCAACAGATTGCTGGCCTTTTTACATGTAATTAGAAACAAATGCACAATTTTATGTATTTATATATGTTTGCCTTTTAAATATGTCTCCTAAATAAGGGCTGCTGTTGTATAGTATATATACTAATACAGGTTAAATGTACACTGTTTGGAGTTCTGAGCTATATATCTGAGTGCTTGCCGTTATACCTATATATATCATTGTAAATGACATTGTGAAAAGTTTGTATCAATTTGATTATAGTTAATTTTAAATTTTTGAAATAAACTATTTTCATAATTTTTGCATATTTTTTAGTTTGGTTGATATATTTCATTATCTAATAGGGGGCCCAGAGGGCCTGTATCACTTACCTGGATATGGTTAAAGTACTTGATATGACTCAGGTAAAGATATAGCACTCCATGGTACTGTATGTACTGTGTGTATGTGAAATTTCAGAAAGATCCATCCAGTATTTCTGGAGATAACGCGAGAACAAACTTCAAAGATGGCAGCCTCGTGGCCATCTTGTTTTAATGAATACACACACTTATAGTAACAGGCACTACTGGACAACTTGATGGAGACAAAATTGGGATAAAATCCCGTAATCACTATGGTAGAAGGATTTCAAAGGTTTTATCACTATTTCCCCTATTGGGCCCTGCCCCCTCTCCCTGGGGGCCTCACCCACTGTTTATAAAAAAAAAATGAGTGCCCAAGGACCCTCTAGACCAAATTGGTATGAAATCCCTATGACAGAAAAAGGATTTTAAAGGACCCACCCCTCTGCCCCCACCCTCCCTTTATCCCAACGGTAGAAGAAAGATTTTAAAGGTTTACCTCTATTTCCCCTATTCAGACCTACCTCTCTACACCTAGGGGGACCACACCCACCGTTTATGCAAAATTGAGTACCCTTGGCCCAAAGATGCTCCAGACTTAATTAGGATAAAATCCCTTAATCCCTATGGTAACAGAAGGATTTTAAAGGTTTACCTCTATTTCCCCTATTCAGACCCTCTGATCTGCCCCCAGGGGGGCCACACCCACCATTTATACAAAATAGAGTGCCCTTGGCCTAAGGATGCTCAAGACTAAATTGGGATGAAATCCCTTAATCCCTATATGGTAGAAGAAGGATTTTAAAGGTTGTACCTCCATTTCTCCTATTGGGTCTGGCTCCCCTGCCCCCAGGGGGGCCACACCCACACTTATACAAAATTGAGTGCCCTTGGCCAAAAGATGCTCCAGACCAAATTTAGTTTAAATCCACTTAGCCATTCAGAACTAGAAGCGTTTTAAAGGAAAACTTGACGGACAGAAGACAGACGCAGCGCCAAAAGGGCAAGTGAGCTAAAAACAACCACATCAACATGAAATGCTGACTTATTACTGTAAATAAATAGGTAGCTTTACATCTTTCCTCCATGGACATTGTAGTAAACTTCAATAGATGAGCAATAACAGGAATTGAATAAATATAAATTTCATTTATTTTACAATTGTAAAACAAGTTTTCTAACTTATGTAAGTCACTTTTGTTGGCCTGGATGGAGGTGTGCAGGCGTCTTTAAGTGGGAGGAAACTGGAGAAAAGCCATGTGGTCGAGCAGGTGACCTGATACCTTTTCATGTCCGATCGGGGAAACAAACCCTGGTCCGCCCAACCTTCCGAAGGTAAACTTGATGGCACTGACAATTTTTGCTCAACTGGCTCAAAAGGACAAGTGAATATTCATCCATCTTGGAGCAACAGCCATCATTTGTTCAAATGAATGACCTTGGCCTGCATTGAAGACCATTGGGGTCAGATATGTTATTTTAAAAAACTTCTCTGAATAACCAAGAAGCATTGGGTAATGATATTTGCATGACCAGAGGCATACGTGCTGAAATAAAAGGCTATCAAATCTGTCCAAAGGATTGACCTTGACCTACTTTAAAGGTCACAGGGGTCAAACTTGTTAAAACATTTAATCAACTTGTCAATAACCAAGAAACCTAGGGTGATGATATTAGGCCTATGACATGCTGGAATTAAGGGCTATCAAGTTCAGGCAAATATCTTTTACCTATTTTCAAGGTCACAGGGGTCAAATGTAAACAACTTCATGTAAGTGATCCAGTGGCCAAAGGTCATGTTATTTAACACTTTCCATTTCCATTTGGTTTGTTCAAATGAACTCGATTTGGGGTGTGAGCCAATTGCAAGTCACCTAAATAAAACAAAATTGAAAAAATACCAATGTCTAAAGGTGTGTTTTAGAAATTTTATTTTTATTTCCATCAAGATCATTCATAACCATCATAAGGTATTAGAAGGCCACAAGTACATGTGAAAATGTTCTTACTTTATATAAATCACATCTTAATAGTGCATAAGGATCCTGCCTTTAGATGGATTCTAAATTGAATTTCAAAATAACTAAGATATCACAATGTAATTCAATTCATGTTAGATAAACTTATTAAGCAAGCTGGACATACATGTCAAAATATAAAATTTGGGGATATATTTAAAAGATTTTCTTATCTTAATTTGATCATTATTGTAATGTTCATTAACACATGAAAACACAGCAACAGAATTTTTAATATATATATATACCAATACCGGTATTATAAAAAGAAAAATTCTCAACAATTTAACGAGTCTTTAGTACTTTCATCTCTTCTAGGAGATTCTTCATTCTTCAATACCGGTATATATTGAAACACACTTAATGTTCAAAAACCAAAATTTAAATATGGAAATAAAATAGTTACATAACTGTCAAGATGTAACTGCATGATCTTGTTTTCATTAAAATACATGTATCAACATATAAGAGTTTGTCAAATGCTTTATTCACACAAAGAAAAATATATATTTAGAAACAATGACAGAATCATGCATTCACAATTTATTATCTAGAGAGTGGGTATCAGTCTTAATAAAGCACTTCCAGCAACATGACCCCCTTACTTTTATGTGTGAGGGTTTGTGCATGTACTACTTAAAAGTATGTCAGTCTAATTTAAATGGCTCATTTATAATGTCATACCATTTGAATGCTGGCAACACCACAGACACTGCAGTACCCAGTCAAGACCATATTTGAATGCTAAATACATCAGACACAGCACTACCCAACCAAGACCATTTTATACTCCCCTCCAGGCAGGTGAAGTTAAGCAAGTAAAGTTTAGTGTCTTGTACAAGGACACAATCATATGCTGTTGTCTGTTAAAATCGAACCTATGCATGATCATATTGATTGACAATTATGATGAACATACAAAACCAGTAATGTACAAGTGTGAGTACAAATTTACCTTCCATTGGTCTTATACTGGCCAACGTTTAATACCGATTAAATTCACAACTAATGCCCAGAGTATAGCATTTAATTGTAAATTAGTAGAACTGTTATCTACAAAAGATCTTGTTTAATTATTTAAACTTTATTCAGCATCTAATATAACAATGAAGAATTTTTATTTTGTTGCATATGTGGGTCCATTCTTAGAATCATCAGTAGTAGTTGAAGACTAATGGTATGACGTCGACAACGAGAAATCAAAACGAGAAATCCATATATCCAAATATTAGCTCGACAACAAAAGTCAGTAACTAATTGATAATCATATACCTTAATTCTTGAAATGCACATCATGTTAACTGAAAATCATTACCATATGAATATTGAATTTGCTTCCCAGAAACTTTAACCATACAACAATACATGTACAGTCAAGGATGGAACAGTGGTGTAAAATGTTCTATTCACAAAATAGAACAATATCTCCTTCAAAGAGTAATGCTTACTGAACCATACAACAATACATGTACAGTCAAGGATGGAACAGCTGTTAAAATGTTGAGCAAACCTATTCTTGATTCAATTTGTGGATTTCATTATTGGGTTACAACGAATGGGTTCCATCCAAAAAGGAGATTGGTTAATGGGGCGATACAACATCTTGGGTTGTTATCAAATTGCAAAATAATTAAAGGACCTAGTATAGGTATTGTATGGCTTGAAAACTGGCTGTATCACTATTAGAGAATCACCAGGTATGTCATAAAAGGTTATAGTTTGGACGTTAAGTTAACAACTATATAATATACTATACTGTAAGATGGGATTTTTTTGTGTTTTGAAATATTTGCGATTTGAATATTGCAGTGTTGAAATGTTTCCATTGGCATTGGTTCTGAAATCAATGTGTTTCTATACCATTATATCATGTTTTATTATCCGTAAACAATATTTGGTTGTGGACCTGCGTTCGTTTTCTTTTAATTGCCTTTATTAATTAATTCTCCGGTAAAGTTACATGTATCAGCAACTTGTTGATCAAATTAATGTCACAATAAATGACATTCACATCATCATTTTTTCCAAATGCATTAAGATCAAATTTGATACTATCTTTTCAACAAGTATCTCAAATATTAAGGTATTTAATATAAGCTGTGTTGATAATTATCCTACACCATTTGTTAAAGTGTCGTTTTTTAACTAGTATCAGCCACTCGAAGGTGCTTCAACATACCTAGATACACAATTCATTCAATCACATAAACAGTTCATACATATACATTTAATTAACAATCAAGCAACTCAAAACTAAAAGGATTTTACTGCTTGTCCCCTTTGTCCTCCACATCTGAAGGCTTTCAGGTGACCTTCCACACTTCTATTTGTATTTCAAAGAAGTAACAGGGATTTCATGAGTGGCTTAAAATTGAGTTTTTCTTAGTGAGCATTTAAAATAGAATTAAATATTATAGCACCCCTGTGATTGTTAAACTATCATTTGTTGTCTTATTCAAATCAAAAATCAAACCTGTACTTGTCTGTAGTTTTTGCCTTTTTAAATCAACTTACAGAATGAAAGCACATTTGACGCAAATTAGTAATTTCTTTTATTGTTAAGCAAATACTGTGACAAATTGTTAAATAATTCAATATTTTTTGACAATAAATGAAACATCAAATGTGGTCATCTCTGTAGGTACGTAGATAAGTCATCCTCTTCAATAGAACAGATAAACACCACACAATGGATTATTCGAATCACATCCAGAACAGTTGAAAACATGCAAAATGAAACATGAAAGTGAATTCTCAATTTGTTGTGTACCTGTTGTTATTTGATATTTATTTTTAAAGTGTCAATATATCAGCATCAAGTTGAAGTAGTCTATTATAAAAACCCTCATCTATTGGGCTATGCAAATAGGTTATTTTATTGGTGATAATACTATATGTGATGACATGGCTACCGACTCCGCTACGCAGTGTTAGTACAGATTTGAGTCGAAAATGTCTCTCACACACTTTTCTCCCTCATGAAAATTTTGAAAAGTTGGCAAGTGTGCACTAGCAAAATTTGCATTAACAATAAAAACACTACAAACAATGATGCTAAAAATATCACAGAGCATCAAGTTGAGTGTGGAGATGCAAATTTTTTACACATCAAGTTTTTAACACTACATGTTTATTATACTAGTGGTTTATGATGAATAGGTACTCTATGTGTATTTGGTTATAAGATAAATCAGGGGTACACAATTCCACTGCCTCTACACCTAGATTTTGTGTCCAAAGTAGTTACAATTTTCAATGTTTACGTTAATAATAATAATAATAATTTGAGGTTCTTCTATACTGCTTTATCACAACCTAGTTTGTAGGTCGTCTCAAAGCGGTTCACAAATTATTATCCGAGGTTATAGGGCCTTTGCAACCATGCAGCCAATATCTTTTTCAAATCCTTGATCATGAGGAGCATACAGCCGGTGCTGCCATTTCGGCACTCACAGCTCAAATTCAACAATTCTAGCACTGCCCAACCACGTACCTACTCATTTACAGCTGAGTAGACTGGAAAAAGCAGAGTAAAGTATCTTGCTCAAAGATACAAACAATGCTGTGAAAATCATTAACCACCATTAATAATAAAATTTTACTCTAAAGAATTAAACGTTTTATTTATACCCATATATTTATTACAATTGTCTAATAAATGCAAGTCAAGGAGAATATTTTAGAATTAGAACTGTTAGACAATGGCTTATTTAACTATCTACTGCTCATTAATATGACTTTTGTTTGTGTTACCTTCCCTTAAATAATCACTGATATGGAATGCATTTTTGACATTCAATTTTATATAAGGTTATTTTCTGGTTCTTGTTCATATGTATATCACATGTAGTTCTTATTATAGTTAAAGATACCCTGCTCTGCATTGTTAGGTAAATAAAAATTAATTCTGATAAAATCAGCAAATTCATCCTGTAATTACTGGTGATTTAATTAGGATCCCAAGTTTTGCATGAAAAGAACAAAAAGTTATCTGGGTTTTCTGCTTGAATAAAAGGAATAAAAAGGGCAATAACTCTGTCAAAGTTCATTTTATCGACATTCTGGATACCATATGTTAAGGCAAGAAAAGAAATAGGACGGATATGTGACATTCTGGTGAATATTTATGATTTATAAGTGAAAGAGGAAAATTTAGCTTGTCTTATATATTACACCTTTGTGATGTAAGGTGGAATTGAGAAAAAAAAAGAAAAAAAAAAAACACTTGGAAATGTCAATAAATATGTTTAAATTTATCATTAGCATCAACCTTGGTCCAGTCTTCAGTGAATGTGTGTTATACATATTGATTTAGGATCATAAGGTTCAATTAAATCTAACAGTTCAGTACAAAACATCAGAAGGCCAGAACACTGCATTTACCATTTATTACCTCTAATTTTAGCCCAACCCCTTGTGTAACAGATATACCGGAGGCTCATTATTTTTTGAATTAATCAAGCTCATATACTATATATACTGTACATTATATTATGCAGTGTTAAATTCACTTCCGTTTGAAGGACTTCACTCCCTGGGTTTGTCAGAGGCAAAGTATTCCAAATCAGCCATGTTGTTCACAAACACGACAGAATACAAACAGAATCTCGATCTAAAAATCTCTTTTTTCCAGTTGTCGTGTTATCTCTTTTTTCCAGTTGTCATGTTATCTCTTTTTTCCAGTTGTCGTGTTTTAAAAATTAATTTGGGTAATTATAAATAACTTTTTATGAGTTTTTATTAGAGACATATCAATGAATTTCTCTCTAACACATGATCACTTTTTGTATAATTCATAATGTTTAATTTGTAAAACTAGATATCACATTCATTCACATATGAATTCAGTATGTGCCAGTTTGTGTCAATTAACAAGGCCAAGGGAGACAACCTAGAATAGCATGCACACAAATACAATTTCACATTTTCTGACAAAAGCTATAACTGCACTTGATATTGTCCAGAAACCATTCTTGAGAAACAAGAAATCATCACATATATTCAATAATATATTCCGGATAATACTGATTAGTATCAAATAAACAGAATATTTTGGGATTTTTAACGTTGTCCACACAGCAGTCATAGAGCCGTGAGTGCGGGTCAGATTGGTCGACAGGTGGTGGGCGGCGATACTGGTTCTTTCCCACACAACTCTTGCCGGCCAATACACGCGTCAACACCATGTACTTGTGGCGCTTTTCATCTGCCTGGGCGTATAAATCCGAATATTTAGCTTCCACTGCAAAGTATGTTCCCTGGCCAAATATGGCACCAACACGCTCGCCAGCCAACCGAAAGTCCAGATTTTCCTTGCAAATTTTGTCAATCTTATCAGGTAGGGTCCCATGGAAAAGCTCTAACTCATTGGCTCCACCCATTCCATATTGCCCTTCTAACTGGCGCTTTTTCCTGAAAATGCAGACCGAAAATGTTTTCAAAACGTTTTTGTATTTCAAAAGTATTAATAATTACATATGTATATGAATTTGATATTTTGTTGCTTAAATTATTCATAAAGTAGTTAATGTGAAAATGTAATTAATACACAGCTAGCAATAGGCAATGAAGACAGAATAAACAATGGAGAATGAGTAAACAATTAATATGAATTACATATAATTGAGCATAAAAACGTTCTATTTCCCTGTAAGTATTTGGGCACTATTTTCTCAAGGATCCAGGATCACTGTCCTACTACACTCTGATTCACATATACAGTTATCTCCCCTTAATTTCAATCTGGAAATAAGTGTAGCACAGTTGGGCCAGGACACTTATATTGGCCAGGTTTAACTCAGTCGGTTAAAGTGACAGAGTAACAATCTGCAATGCTGGGTTGGAATCCTGATCTAGCATCACTTAATTTCCTATACTCAAAACACTATTATTGGTTATTATTGGTTATATTTTGTTTACTGGACTGGTATTAATTTTCATGAAAAATCGCAGAAATTAAGAAGTTAAAGTCATGCCAGAAAAACAGTTTCCAATGCATAGTAACCGTTTTTGGTATTGGTATGGGTCGCCATAACTCATATAGTTATAAAAATGTTAATACATTACAGTAAGGCTGATACATACAAGTAGTAGACCTCCCATAGAAACATATTCTGTACACGTTGAATGGTGAAGATCTTTGCTTGGGGTAGTGTGGAGCGGAACTTCTTCGACACATTTTCATACTCCATCTTCAATATGCCCCCCGCCTCCACCGACACAGGTACGCGTGTGAAAGCTTGGCCTTTCGTCAATGGGTCCCAGTTAGAAGGCAGGTTGATGCCTCGCTTCGTGGTCTCAAACTTGTTGTGTTTAGCTTTATCTGCCAATCTAAAAGACAGTGTCATCACCAAAATAAAAAATCCTTTTGGAAACAAGATTATTGTTGCTTACTTTAAGATTATTTCATGCCCAATCGTGTTGTAGGATTGGGAAACTCCAGCACAGGGGTTTTCAAATTGGATGAAACCCGAGGCTTGCTGAGGATTTAACACCAATTTGAAAATCCTCAGGGTGGAATTTCACTTTTCTACAATCTCAAGTATGAAAGAGTATTTTTTTCTCATTCTAATCAGCAGAATTATTTCAGAAACTGCAAAAGAGGTGTCACCATTTCTGCATTGCAGCATTATTAGGTTCCCAATTTCATGTCACATCTCTTTGGTCCCCCATTATGTACTCATGAAATGGGGTGTAAGTTAGAAATATCTTGCACCCTTTTCTTACCCTGGATAGATCTGTTAAATACACACAGTAACTAGAACACTGACAGGTCAGTAAGGGCCCCGTCTTGTGGCAATATATATCCCTCATAATCATCAAGAAGCAATCTGCCCATATAGCTGAGCTTGACGTTTGACATTTGAACTTCCAAAAGAATCGCAAGGAAGCAAAATATACATTTTACATGTACTATGATGCGAGTCTTGTTTCCTTCCACCTCCATATTTGCTGGGCTAACAGAAATGTAAATACCAGTGCAATACTCATTTGCTAGCTTTGATTTGTTTTATTTCACCTTATATACCTCCTCCATCAAGAGCCAGGGTCAAAGTCAGAGATCCACTTTGTCTTTGACCTTTGGACCCAAATGACCTTAACCATTAAACCAATGACCCTGATCTTTGGTCAGTTGACTTATTCTTTAATTCTGACCAACTTTGCTTCTTAATATCATAACAAAATGTTCTTCAGTGAAAAATACAAAACTTGACCTTGACCCTTTGGACCGCGTAACATTTGACCCAGTGATCTTGACCTTTGGTCAATTGACTCCTTGTTTAATTCTGAGCAACATTGCTTTAAAGTGTCATAGCGAAGTGTTCACCAGTGAAAAGATACAAAATTTAACCTCGACCTTTGACCCAATGACCTTGACCTTTGGTCAGTTGACTCCTTGTTTAATTCTGATCAACTTTGCTTCATCATGTCATAAAAAAATGTTCATCAGTGAAAAGATGCCAAATTTGACCTTGACATTTGATTCTAATGACCTTGACCTATGACCTCGACTTTTTACCTCAGTGTGTCTCTTTGTTTAATTCCGAACAAGTTTGCTTCTTAATGGCATAGCGAAATGTTCACCAGTGAATAGCTACAAAATTTGACCTTGACCCCTGACCTGATGACCTTTGGTCACTTGACTCCTTGTTTAATCCTGATCAACTTTGATTCATAACGTCATAACAAAATGTTTATCATTGCAGCCTCTGTTATCTTTTCTCTTTTCTCTTTTTTTTAAGTGTCTAGCACTGGAAAACTGTTCTAATAGCCGTTAAGTAGGCTACATTGCAGGACCTCTTGTTGAAGGCAAAAAAGAATAGTGCTCGTGTACAAAGATCCTTCAGCAGACTTATCCACTTTAAAATGGAAACTTATTAAGTTAAAGCATATTCTAAGCCAGAGTAATGTAACTTAGATAATAGATGTACATACTTTTCCATGAATTTACGGACCATAGGGTCAGAGGCGAGATCAAGGGGTGTGTCACCATCTTTATTTTTGAGCATGATGTTGGCACGGGACTCGAGCAACAGGCAGATGATCTGTGTGCCCACCTCATGATCCTGCTTAGCCCCCATAATCTTGTCACACTGGAATGATCATACAGGAGAATGTTACTACATACCATCATACTCTCGAGTTTGTGAGAAGAAGCTGTTCAAAGATTTAAACACAGTTAACCGTCATTGACTTGAACAAACATAATTGCAACAATATAGTTTAGCTAACAGGAATCATGACTTGAAGTTTTACTCTTCATTAGAAGATGATAGTTGAAAAATTTAACACAACCTGTGACCTTGAACATATATCAAGGTTAATAGCCCTACATCCAAACAAGCATCATCGAAAATATAACTTCATGATTCTAGAAAGTAATTCGAGGAAAAAGCTGATGCAAAATGAATGGATGGCCAACAGAAAAATATATCAGTTGCTTAGATTTAATTTAGTTTTTTTTAAGTCAACCATGGATTCAAAACTTGTTTTACAAACCTCTCTAGATGGACCTGATTTACTGAGTGCCAAATGTAAGGCTGTGTTTCCAAAAACATCCTGGGCATTTACATCAGATTCTAAAACACAATACATATACATTACAATCTAATCTAAAAGATATAGGATTATTTAAAATGGAGACATACAGTACACACAATGAGCCATAGGTGAGAACTGGGTCTAAAGGAGCTGTCCTATAAGATCCATCCATGATGAGGGTGAATTTATCATTACAGTGAATACATGCATAAGTAAACATCACAATGTATTCATGGTAATGAAATTTGAAGGGTGAAAAATGATTTCCTGCATGGGCGAAGGGCGATAGTTTGACTGGGCGAGAACTTCCCAGTGTACAGTATTTTACTACTCCCCTCCTCCTTATTTAACTACCAAGCACCTTGTGCTGTACCTTCAATTATAAGAACCCCATGGTTCTGAGGCTACTGAACAAGTGTTTTTTAGTTCTTCGACTACAGAACCAGATTCCTAAAGTTTTAGAACTTCAGGGCCCGTATTCATGAAAACGTTCTCATGCTCAAACTCAGATTCTGTGTTCAAGTCCATTATCATGTGAACAATTCATAAAAATTTACATTTTTGTTAGTGCATTTTGAATAATATTGGATAGATCAAAAGCCAAATACTGCTTTCAATGTTCACACTTGGCCTTTTATTGTTTCAAGTAACAAAAAAGTTGGCTTGAGCACAAAATCCATGTTTGAGCATCAGTACAGTTTCATTAATACAGGGTCAGATGGTATCCTATAAACAAATGTAGGAGATATGGTCTATCCAAATGCAACGGAGTGTGAAAACAGATGATATTACCTGCTGCTATGAGGAGCTCGATCACCTGTTTGTGACCTCCATTCACAGCGCAATGGAGTGGTGTTTTCTTTTCCTTGTCACCAATGTCAATATTCACGTTGATCTATCAATCAAAAAGATGGCTTCAATGGAATATTGACAGTGTCTCACTTCTTGATGCAAGCAAGACAAATTTTAAACTTATTAAAGAATCCTAACTTTCTATAAGATGATTTTTTTTTTTAATCATAACAAGAGACTCATGGCCTTATTGCTTACATTGTATTAATATATAAATGTATGGCTCCAGAGGAAATGAATAGGTTGCGATAAATTGTGCCAAATTCTTTTAATTCTTTTATTGTATTATGCAATAAAATCTGTTCAAACTAAACTGCTAAACATTTTACTTGTGTAAATTACTCAATGTTGTACATTTTACTTGTGTAAATGACTCAATGTTGTACATTGTATTTGTGCGAATGACTCAATGTTGCACATTGTACTTGTGTGAATGACTCAATGTTGTACATTGTACTTGTGCGAATGACTCAATGTTGTACATTTTACTTGTGTAAATGACTCAATGTTGTACATTGTATTTGTGCGAATGACTCAATGTTGTACATTGTACTTGTGTGAATGACTCAATGTTATACATTGTACTTGTGTTGATGACTCAATGTTATACATTGTACTTGTATGAATGACTCAATGTTCAACATTGTACTTGTGTGAATGGCGCAATGCTGTACATTGTACGAATGACTCAATGTTGTACATTGAACTTTTGTGAATGACTCAATGTTATGCATTGTAATTGTGTGAATGACTCAATGTTGTACATTGAACTTGTGTGAATGAATCAATGTTATGCATTGTACTTGTGTGAATGACTCAATGTTGTACATTGCACTTGTGTGAATTTCTCAATGTTATACATTGTACTTGTGTGAATGACTCAATGTTGTACATTTTACTTGTGCGAATGACTCAATGTTGTACATTGTACTTGTGTGAATGACTCAATGTTATGCATTGAACTTTTGCGAATGACTGAATGGTGTACATTGTACTTGTGTGAATGACTCAATGTTGTTCATTGTACTTGTGTGAATGACTCAATGTTGTACATTGTACTTGTGTGAATGACTCAATGTTGTACATTGTACTTGTATGAATGACTCAATGTTGTACATTGTACTTGTGTGAATGGCTCAATGTTGTACATTTGCTTGTGCGAATGACTAAATGGTGTACATTGTACTTGTGTGAATGACTCAATGTTGTACATTGTACTTGTGTGAATGGCTCAATGATGTACATTGTACTTGTGTGAAAGACTCAATGTTGTACATTGTGCTTGTGTGAATGACTCAATGTTGTACATTGTACTAGTGTGAATGGCTCAATGTTGTACATTGTACGAATGACTCAATGTTGAACATTGTACTTGTATGAATGACTCAATGTTGAACTTTGTACTTGTGTGAATGACTCAATGTTGTACATTGTACTTGTGTGAATGACTCCATGTTGTGCATTGTACTTGTGTGAATGGCTCAATGATGTACATTGTACTTGTGTGAATGACTTGATGTTGTATTTTGTGCTTGTGTGAATGACTCAATGTTGTACATTGTGCTTGTGTGAATGACTCAATGTTGTACATTGTCCTTGTGTGAATGGCTCAATGCTGTACATTGCACGAATGACTCAATGTTGTACATTGAACTTGTGTGAATGACTCAATGTTATGCATTGTACTTGTGTGAATGACTCAATGTTGTACATTTTACTTGTGCGAATGACTCAATGTTGTGCATTGAACTTGTGCGAATGACTGAATGGTGTACATTGTACTTGTGTGAATGTCTCATAGTTATACATTGTACTTGTGTGAATGACTCAATGTTGTACATTGTACTTGTATGAATGACTCAATGTTGTACATTGTGCTTGTGTGAATGACTCAATGTTGTACATTGTGCTTGTGTAAATGGCTCAATGTTGTACATTGTATGAATGACTCAATGTTGAACATTGTACTTGTATGAATGACTCAATGTTGTACAGTGTACTTGTACGAATGACTCAATGGTGTACATTGTACTTGTGTGAATGACTCAATGTTATACATTGTACTTGTGTGAATGACTCAATGTTGTACATTGTACTTGTGTGAATGACTCAATGTTGTACATTGTGCTTGTGTGAATGACTCAATATTGTACATTGTACTTGTGTGAATGGCTCAATGTTGTACATTGTACGAATGACTCAATGGTGTACATTGTACTTGTGTGAATGACTCAATGTTATACAATGTACTAGTGTGAATGACTCAATGTTGAACATTGTACTTGTGTGAATGACTCAATGTTGTACATTGAATTTGTGTGAATGACTCAATGTAGTACATTGTACTTGTGTGAATGACTCAATGTTGTACAATGTACTTGTGCGAATGACTCAATGTTGTACATTGTACTTGTGTGAATGACTCAATGTAGTACATTGTACTTGTATGAATGACTCAATGTTGTACATTGTACTTGTATGAATGGCTCAATGTTATACATTGTACTTGTGTGAATGACTCAATGGTGTACATTGTACTTGTGTGAATGACTCAATGGTGTACATTGTACTTGTATGAATGACTCAATGTTGTACATTGTACTTGTATGAATGACTCCATGTTGTACATTGTACTTGTATGAATGACTCAATGTTGTTCATTGTATGTTGAAGTCTCATATGAGTAAATCAATGTTTTACTCACATTGGGTTTTGCAACAAGGCAGTTGGTGGCATCCACAAAGTTGTTTGCTGCCACAATGTGAAGAACTGTGAATCCCTCTGCTGTCTGGTCATTTACAAAGTTCTTATTCATCTCTAAGATTACATCCATTGCCCTGTTAATTCAAAACACATACAATTCATGTACACACCTAAATATACATTACAGGTACACACCTAAATATACATTACAGGTACACACCTTAATATACAATACTGGTACACACCTAAATATACATTACAGATACACACCTAAATATACATTACAGGTACACACCTAAACATAGATTACAGATACACAACCTAAACATACATTACAGATACACAACCTAAACATACATCAGAGGTACACACCTAAATATACATCAGAGGTACACACCTAAATATACATCAGAGGTACACACCTAAACATAGATTACAGGTACACACCTAAACAGACATCACAGGTACACACCTAAACATAGATTACAGATACACAACCTAAACATACATAACAGATACACAACCTAAACATACATCAGAGATACACACCTAAATATACATCAGAGGTACACACCTAAATATACATCAGAGGTACACACCTAAACATAGATTACAGGTACACACCTAAACAGACATCACAGGTACACACCTAAACATAGATTACAGATACACAACCTAAACATACATAACAGATACACAACCTAAACATACATCAGAGATACACACCTAAATATACATCAGAGGTACACACCTAAATATACATCAGAGGTACACACCTAAACATAGATTACAGGTACACACCTAAACAGACATCACAGGTACACACCTAAACATAGATTACAGATACACAACCTAAACATACATAACAGATACACAACCTAAACATACATCAGAGATACACACCTAAATATACATCAGAGGTACACACCTAAATATACATCAGAGGTACACACCTAAACATAGATTACAGGTACACACCTAAACAGACATCACAGGTACACACCTAAACATAGATTACAGATACACAACCTAAACATACATAACAGATACACAACCTAAACATACATCAGAGTTACACAACTAAACATGCATCAGAGTTACACAACTAAACATACATCAGAGTTACACAACTAAATATACATCAGAGGTACACACCTAAACATAGATTACAGATACACAACCTAAACATACATTACAGATACACAACTAAACATACATCAGAGATACACAACTAAACATACATCAGAGTTACACACCTAAACATAGATTACAGATACACAACCTAAATATACATCAGAGGAACACCTAAATAAACAATACAGATACACATCTTAACATACCATACAGAAACACACCTAAATATACAAGACAAGTACACACCTAAACATACAATACAGGTACACACCTGAACATACAATACAGGTACACACCTAAACATACAATACAGGTCCACACCTTAACATTCAATACTGGTACACACCTAAATATACATTACAGCTGGTACACACCTAAATATACATTACAGATACACACCTAAATATACAATACAGGTACACACCTACACATACACTTAAGGTTCACATATACATACTGAACAGAATTTTTTAGGCCTGCCCACTGCAATACATTAAAACCATCTTGGTTTGGGATTGTATAATCAGCATCGTGACCTCTAAGGACAGCTAGCATGATCCTGGGTTGTCCCATTCGTTGTTGTACAGCGTCATGCATGGTTGTGTCTCCATCATCAGCCTGTCCCAAAACAAACCCTAAAATTAACTACATTTTACAATGTAGGTTCACGTTAAAGTAACCTTTAGACTCTGATTGCTAGTATAGTTATTTTTGCAACAGACTTATAAACGGGCATATATTACCAGTATTTAGCTTATATTTTGAATGAATATATTAAATACAAAAGCTAACAAAAGAAACTGTGAGCAAGCTCACAAATTTAGATATAACCCCTGCTTGTGCTTACAAGGTTCCTAAATAAGTTTTAAGGACCATAAATCCTGGAAAAATAGGAATATTGTGAATTCCTGTCTTCATGCACATCTACATATGATATAGTGTCACAGTGCCAAGTAACCAAAACTTCAAATTAACTGTCAAAGAGATGCGCTTAAAAGGTTTTGGGAGCAGAAGGTTAAAGGGGCAATAACTCCAGTGTGGATGGACAACAGATGGACACAGTGATACATGTACTATAGGGCACCCGCCCTATAACTATATGACAATGATATTTGAACTTTATGGTTTCAAGGATATATTTTGGACAACATTTTGGTGAACAGCTTTAGTATAATTGTTGTAATTTTTAGAGAGAAAAGAAATCTCAAATGATTGAACAAGCAAGTTCTTCAAACCTTGCATAAACAGTTGTAAACAAGCATACCTTTATGTTGACATCACTGCCATGCCGGACTAGAATCTCCACAGCCTCCTCGCAGGCTTTCCCTATAGAGATATGTAATGGACTATGACCGGCTTTGTTCACTATGTTGACCTTTGCTCCCGCATTCAGTAACTGTTTCATTGTCTCTGTCTCCTTCCTGTTAAATAAATATAGTGGATCTTTGTTGTAATATAACCGAAACAGGATCATTATAAAATCATAGGTTTACAGAATGCTGCAAAAATAGGGACATTTTCATCTTTGCTCTACAAATTTGAAAAAAGAGGCTAAATGGACCTGCATCGCTCACCTGCTATCTCACACTTGTAACCTTAAAATCGATCTTAAATAAAGCTACAGGGAAAATATCAGTATTGATGACTACAATAGCAGACTTCTCATGACTTTAAAATGACTTCTCATTCAAAAGAACCTGTTTAGAGATTTAAAAACATTTGACCTCTGTGACCATAAAAGTCGGACAAGATCATTATGTTGAACAAACTCTACCTATAGCCCTTCATCTCAGCATTCAACTTGCAAAATATCACCACCCTAGACCTTTTGTTTATTGAGATTAGGTCATTTAAATGTTTATACTTTGAAATACGGTCAAGGTCATTCAAATGAAAAAGTTTGATAGCCCTTTATCCTGGTATGATACTGACCAAATGTCATCACCATGGGCCTTTTTGTTATTCAGAAGAAGTTGTTTAACGATTTTAAACATATTTTACCCCTGTGACCTTGAATGTATTTAAAGGTATTTCATTTTAACAAACTTGTAAGCCCTTCATCCTAGTATGCTGCTGACCAAATATCATCACCCTCACTGTTTAACAGGCCTGGGATTTTGGTTATTCAGAAAAGGTCCTTTAAATATTTTGATCATATTTGATCCCTGTGACCTTGAATATGGGTCAAAGTCATTCTTTTGAACAAACTTGGTAGCCCTCAATCCCAACATGTTACGGGCCAAACATCATCCTGCACCATTTGGTTATTCAGGAGAAGTCGTTTAAAGGTTTCAAACATATTTGACCCAGGTGACCTAGAATATATTTTAAGGTCATTTAATTTGAACAAATTTGGTAGTCCTTCATCCTAGCATAATTCTGACCATATATCATCATACTGGGCATTTTGGCTATTCAAAAAAAGTTTTTTCAAAATTTTAAACATATTTGACCCCTGTGACTTTAAATGCAGGTCAAGGTCATTATATTAAACAAACTTCAGGATAACATGTTTAAAAGATTTTGGAGACATATTTAACCCCTGTGACCTTGAATATGAGTAAAGGTCATTCAATTTTACAAATTTTGTAGGCCTTTATTCGAGCATGCTACTGACCAAATATCAACATCCTGGTCATTTTGGTTATTCAGAAAAACGACAGAAGCCGAACTATGGCATAATTTAAGTTCACTTTGGGCCAAGTGAGATAAGAACTATATTTACATTCTGAACAACTTAAAATACTCTTAAAATCTTTGGCACTTAAAAATTCAGTGTGTAATAAATAATATGTATATTCAACTGGAACTGGAACTAAAATAATTTACCATAATTTTGTATCATACTTGTATACCAGCTGGGGGGGGGGGGGGGGGGGGGGGGGAGCTGATTATTTCCCCAGAGAAACTTTAAGCAAAGAGGGGGGGCAGATTTGGCTTTTAATTAGATATATGAGGTATGACACCTTGTATCACATCAGCTTAAAATTACTTAGTTTTTTAGTGATGCAATCTAATTAAAATCATGAGATCCTTATTCCCGTTCCTCTACTATACCCTTTTAGTAAGAGTATCGTAGAGGAACGGGACAAAGGATCTGATTTTAATTAGATTGATAGTGATTTATTTTTGTTTGTAATGGTAGAAAGAGAGTGAATTAACAAGAAATAGTGCACTACTCAGTGCCATACCCAAAGGCAGCATAGTGCAGGGCGCTGTCTCCCTCTCCATCCTGTAAGTCTAGGTTAGCGTTGTATTTGAGGAGAAGGGTTACAACTTGTGAATGTCCCTCGTAACAAGCCAGGTGTAGTGCTGTCTTACCATCCTGGGAAAAGTTTACCTGCAGATTAAAAGACAACAAGATTTAAATTATCTGTTCCAAATATCAAACAGGAATTACATAGTTTATCCTGGTGCACACCATTCAGTTGGTGACACATGTTACAATATAATAGTAGTAAGGTCTTCAACATTTACACAGTTCATTGCTTAAACATACCTTTGGTCCTGTCTTGTTTATCAAATCATTTAAACTCCTGTTGTTCCGTTATTGTGGAACAAAGTGGCCTTTTTATCTGTACAGATTTGTCCTAGCAAAGATTTGTCACAAACCTGGGCACTTCTACTGGAAACCAATCTTGGCTACATGTGAACAAAGTGAATTGCCAACTGAGGACAAGGATGACTAGATGCAAAAATGGCTAGACCATCAAAGTTCCACCATATATATTTTACCTTGTCTGGATGACTGAGAATCTGCTGACTATCAAGGTTTTGCAATATGTATCTTACCTTGTCTGGTTTCTGGCTGAGAACCTGCTGTATTGTGTTGATGTCATTCTGAGCAGCAGCCTGAACGATGTTGGCTGATGCAGCTTGTACAGGGGGTTGTACTTTCAGCATGTCAACAAATAGCTGAGCAATAGTCTCTGATACATCTGTAATAGATATAAATACATCAGGCATGTAACATTACTCTTGGTTCTTTTAATACAAGTAGCTAGATTAATTTCCTAAATTCAATCCCTGTCACCTATGCCAGGTATTTGGACAATCATGATCAAACTTAATAGCAATTCATCCCAGCTGTATTTATTAAACATGCAATTTGTCCTGAAAGTTGGCCTCATGGTTCTGAAGAAGATTTATAATGAAGTTATGAAAAGTTGATATTGAACGGTTGAGGGACTTCTGAATGCAGTGCCATTGTACAAGCTCACCTTGACATCAATAGATAATTTATTAAACTTGTCATCAACAATAAACTTGATTTCTAAATGATTGCTAACCTCTTCCACTGATGCTCATTTCCTTCTCTTCCGAACTATCGTCATCATCATCCATAACAACAGTAGTTCCCATAAGAGAAGGTGGTGACGATGCCTCAGCTCCTTTTGGACTGGATGCTTGGATACATACAGGATTGAAGATCCAGACGCGTTCATCAACCTTCACACGAACGTCACCATCACTGTCTATCCGTGCAATTCGTCCCTGTTTCTGTAAAACCTGGAGGAAAACAAATAGGTTTTTCAAATGCTCCACCATTCACTGTCAATTTGAACTGGGTAAAATTATCTGACCCCAGGCCTGTGTCATATATGTGACAAAAATACTGCAGGAATTGAATATGAAAAAAAATGATATGTGTTTCAGGTAACACGTCTGAAAAAAATAGGGGAGGTCAGAAGGCAAATAATTTTATTTTATTTCTTATATTTTCAACACAAATTGTGGCACTTCAAAAGTGTTAAATGATGAGTTGAGTGATAAGAAAAATATTATTTGGATGCAGGTGGTCACAGTTATCATATCTCGAAACCTTCGTTGAAATCAGTCCATGACTTAAGAAGGAGTTGTCCTGAAAACAAATTCTACAGACAGACAGACAGATGGACAGACAAGTAGATTCCAGTATACCACTCCTTTCTTGATTGAGGGGGTAATAATACATGAGAAAGAGTAAATAAGAGTCCCAATGGGCCTGCATCGCTCACCTGGTATTAATCTCACACTTGTAATCCTCAAAGTGGAATAAAATACAGCTACAGGCAGAATATCAGTGTTTGATTCATAAGAACCTATTAAAATATTTAAACATATGACGCCTGTGACCTTGAATGTCGAACAAGGACATCAGGTTGAAAGTGGATCAAGGTCATTCATTTGAAAAAACTTGGTAGTCCTTCATCTCAGCATGCTACAGGCCTAATTTCAGTACCCTGGGCCTTTTAGTTATTGAGAAGTTGTTTGAAGATTTTAAAACATTTGACCCCTGTGACCTTGAAAATTGGTCAAGGTCATTCATTTTAACAAACTTGGTAGCCCTTCATCCCAGCATGCTACAAGCCCAAAATCAGTACCCTGGGCCTTTCGGTTATTGAGAAGAAGATATTTGAATATTTTCTGACATTTGACCCCTTTGACCTTGACAGTTGGTCAAGGTCATTAATTTGAACAAACTTGGTAGTCCTTCATCCCAGCATGCTACAGATCCAATATCAGTACCCTGGGCCTTTTGGTTATTGAGAAGAAGTTGTTTGAAGATTTTAAGACATTTGACCCCAGTGACCTTGAAAATTGGTCAAGGTCATATATTTTAACAAACTTGGTAACCCTTCATCCCAGCATGCTACAGATCCATTATCAGTACCCTGGGCCTTTTGGTTATTGAATAGAAGTTGTTTGAAGATTTTAAGACATCTGACCCCTTTGACCTTGAAAATTGGTCAAGGTCATACATTTTAACAAACTTGGTTGCCCTTCATCCCAGCATGCTACAGGCCCAATATCAGTCCCCTGGGCCTTTTGGTAATTGAGAAGAAGTTGTTTGAAGATTTTAAGACATTTGACCCCAGTGACCTTGAAAATTGGTCAAGGTCATTCATTTTAACAAACTTGGTAGCCCTTCGTCCCAGCATGCTACATGCCCAATATCAGTACCCTGGGCCTTTTGGTTATTGAGAAGAAGTTGTTTAAAGTAAAAAAGTTGACGCCGGACAGACGGACACTGGCCGGACAGCCGGACGCCGGATGCCGCACCATGGCATAAGCTCACTAGCCCTTCGGGCCAGGTGAGCTTAAAAGGTAAGGTAAGTAAAACATGAGTAAGGTTGATAACGTCACTAATATGTGTGGTACTGACCTGCTCCATGTCGTCGTTCCAACCACCATGACCCGCCTGTAACACCTTGATCTTCTCCTTGTCCCCCAGTATCTCCACCAAATCATCTTTGCTAAACGTATGAATCTGTGGGGAAAACGTCATATACAATGTGCAACACAATGACGATCTAAAGGATCATATATCATAAATGTCTCTCGTCAAAAAGTCACAAAAGTGATGTGAAGATAAGTACACATGATACAACATGACATTTTTTGTGACCTTGTCTCACAAAGAATGGAGAGGGTAAGGTAAGTATCAGGAATAGGTTAAATGTGACAGACCAATCACACACTGTAACACATTACCCTTCAGTGACAGACCAATCACAAACTGTAACACATCACTCTTCAGTGACAGACCAATCACAAACTGTAACACATCACCCTTCAGTGACATACCAATCACAAACTGTAACACATCACTCTTCAGTGACAGACCAATCACAAACTGTAACACATCACCCTTCTGTGACAGACCAATCACACACTGTAACACATCACACTTCTGTGACATACCAATCACAGACTGTAACACATCACCCTCCTATGACAGACCAATCAAAGACTGTAGTACATCACCCTTCTGTGACAGACCAATCACAGACTGTAGCACATCACCTTTATGTGACAGACCAATCAAAGACTGTAACACATCACCCATCAGTGACAGATCAATCAGACTGTAAAACATCACCCTTCTGTGACAAACCAATCATAAAGACTCACACATCACCCTCCTATGATAGTCGAATCACAAAAGAATTAAACAACACCCTTCTGTAATAGACCAATAACAGACTGTAACACATCACCCGTCTGTGACAGACCAATCACAAAGAGTCACACATCACCCTTCTGTGGCAGATCAATCACAAATAGTCATTAGTCACACATCACCCTTCTGTGACAGACTAATCACAAAGAGTCACACATCATCTTTAAGTGACAGACCAATCACAATGAGTCACACATTACACTTCTGTAGCAGATTCACAAAGATTCACACATCACCCTTCTGTGACAGACCAATCACAAAGAGTCATACATCACCCTTCCTTGACAGACCAATCACAAAGAGTCATGCATCACCCTTCTGTGACAAGACCAATCACACACTGTAACACATCACCCTTCTGTGACAGACCAATCACAAATAGTCATTAGTCACACATCACCCTTCTGTGACAGACTAATCACAAAGAGTCACACATCATCTTTAAGTGACAGACCAATCACAATGAGTCACACATTACACTTCTGTAGCAGATTCACAAAGATTCACACATCACCCTTCTGTGACAGACCAATCACAGACTGTAACGCATCACCCTTCCTTGACAGACCAATCACAAAGAGTCATGCATCACCCTTCTGTGACAAGACCAATCACACACTGTAACACATCACCCTTCTGTGGCAGACCAATCTAAGACTGTAACACATCAACCTTTGGTAACAGATCAATTACAAAGAGTCACACATTACCCTTCTGTGGCAGACCAATCACAAAAAGTCACACATCATCCTTCTGTGACAGACCAATCACAGACTGTAACGCATCACCCTTCTGTGACAGACCAATCACAGACTGTAACACACCCTTCTTTGACAGACCAATCACAGACAGTAACACATCAGTATTCTGATACATCACCCCTCTGTGACAGGACAATCACAGATTCTGATACATCACCCTTCTGTGATAAACTTGTTATCAGCATACCCGGGTTAGAGCCTTGCGGTTGAGGTCAAAGATCTGGCCATCTACATACTGGACCCTGGCAAGCTCTCCTTTGTGTAACAGCTGGACAATGGTGCCCACCTCCTTGATACACTGCAATGTCATATCGCAAAATGTTATAATGGGAATCATCACATTTATTTAAAATGTATCGGGTAACATGCATATTTTGAAGAACCATTAACGACAATGTCTCAAAGTACAAATTGGAAAAGACTACCAGCATTTTTTTTGAAGATTGAAATACATATTTTTAACATTAATGACGGTATTCAACACAGTTCTTACAGACGTATTCTATCATAAATAGACAATGTTATTTTATTGCTCTTTTTTGTCTCAAAACACTTTAGACATACTGTTCTACCAAATGGGGCATCAGAAATTGTTTAGTGAATTTGATCAGTGCTTTCCATGGTTACCAGTTCTGACAAGCAGTGAACGTTAATTAGATATGTTCTGTCTGTTTTAAAACATCACATCATGCATATTGGTCGGCGTTTATTCAAACAATTTGACAGAAAGTTCCCATTTAGTTTCTGATTGGAAAAAAAACCTTTTGGATAGCAGGTTTATCTAAGGACTGTACAATGAAAAGGAGAATATTACATTTTCTTAATTAAATTCTTAAACTCATGCCGATACATTAAACAGCATGTCACAGCCCAGAAGACCTTATATGGAGGTCAACACATCATATCTCACTCAATTTATGCTTATAACGGGACAATGAAATAGTATATGTTTGCATTAAATACTGAAATACAGCAGATTTGGGTGGGCATATTACCAGATACATTGTAAATCTGGTAGCAATATTCCACAACCTTGGTTGAGCTATTCTAAACCAAATGGTCAATAAACTCAACAACAATGGAGGGCCAATGCTTTATTTCTTTATTGTTCACCGGGAAATGTTCGTTGCAGTTTATTTTTCGCCTTTTTCACCTACAGTAATCAGGGCAAATTTTTCATAAGAGCCAACATCAGTTAACAACATATATATCTAACATAGTAATCAAATGTGAAGGGTGAAATTAATAATGGGTGGCTTTTACTAGGGTAGGGTGAAATTAATAATGGGTGGCTTTTACTAGGGTAGGGTGAAATTAATAATGGGGGGTCTTGCTAGGGTAGGGTGAAATTAATAAATGGGGGCTTTTACTAGGGTAGGGTGAAATTAATAATAGGGGCTTTTACTAGGGTAGGGTGAAAGTAATAATGGGGGGCTTTTACTAGGGTAGGGTGAAATTAACAAGAGGCCAAGAGGACATGTATCACTCACCTGGATATCTAAGCAATCATGGCAAAATATTCTCCAAATGAGATCCAAAGGAATATACCAGACCCCAAGGCCAATCCTTGTAGCATATCTGTATTAAATATTTCATGCCCAGCAACTTTATGTATGGTTATGGGGTGGGAATCTCAACTGTTTCCAAGCTGTGACTCAGAAACTAGGTCCATTGGTTGTGGCCAGACTCCAGGATCAATTCTAATATCATGACTGCATTCGTCTCTTTTTGCCCAGCATTTGTATTTATAGTTTTGGGGTGGGGATCTCAACCGTTTCAAAGTTATGACCCAGGGGTTAAGTCTGCAAAGGTGGGGCAGACCCTGGGATCCATTCTAACATCATGACTGCATTAGTCTCTTTATGCCCAACAATTGTATATATAGTTTTGGGGTGGGGATCTTAACCATTTTGAAGTTATGACCCAGGGGTTAGGTCTCCAAGGCTGGGGTAGACCCCAAGGCCATCCTGGAAGCATATGTGCATTTATTTCTTTATATTCAGCAATTGTATATATGGTTTTTGGGTGGGGATCTCAACTGTTTCCAAGCTGTGACTAAGAAACTAGGTCCCTAAGGGTTGGGTCAGACCCCAGGGTCTATTCTAATATCATGACTGCATTAGTCTCTTTATGCCCAGCATTTGTATATATAGTTTTGGGGAGGGGATCTCAACCATTTCAAAGTTATGACCAAGGGACTATGCCTCCAAGGGTGGAGCCAGACCCTAGGGCCATCCTGGAAGCAACTGTGCATTCTTCTCTTTATATTCAGCAATTGTATATATGGTTATACGGTGGGGATCTCAACCATTTCCAAGTAATAAACTTGTTTAGGCCCCACCCCTTAGCCCCGGGGGTCAGCATCAAAATTTGTAGAATTTTGAATCCCTACCTCCGATGAATGCTTCCGACCAAATATGGTCGATATCCATGGCACAGTTCTATACAGAAGATGTCGTTTATAGCAATATAGCAAAATTGTCCCCTTTTGGCCCCGCCCCTCAGCCCCTGGGGGGTCAGCTCCACCATTTGTACAATTTTGAATCCCCACCACCTAAGGATACTTCCAGTCAAATATGGTTGATATCCATCTCTTAGTTCCAGAGAAGAAGTCGCTTAAAGCAATATAGCCAAATTGCCTGCTTTTGGCCCTGCCCGTCAGCCCTCTGCGGGGTCAGCCCCACCATTTGTACAATTTTGAATCCCCACCACCTAGGGATGCTTCCAGTCAAATATGGTTGATATCCATCTCTTGGTTCCAGAGAAGAAGTCGCTTAAGGCAATATAGCCAAATTGCCCCTTATTGGCCCCGCCCCTCAGCCCCCTGGGGGGTCAGCCCAACCATTTGTACAATTTTGAATCCCCACCACCTAGGGGTGCTTCCATTAATATTTAGTCAAACTCCAATCAGTGGTTAATAGGAAGAAGTCGTTCAAAGTAATTGTTGACGTACAGACGATGAACCAGGTGAGCTAATAATGGAGGCTTTTATTAGGGCAGGGTGAAATTAATAATTGGGGGCTTTTACTAGGGTAGGGTGAAAGTAATACTGAGGGGCTTTTACTAGGGTAGGGTGAAAGTAATAATGGGAGGCTGTTACTAGGGTAGGGTGAAAATAATAATGGGGGGCTTTTACTAGGGTAGGGTGAAATTAATAATGGGGGGG